CCCCTCGTCCATTCGCGCTTCGTTATCGCCTCGCGTATTCACCTTCTGCGTTTAATCCCCGCTTTTCTATTAATGGCGCAAAATTATACGTCGCCGTTATTAAACGTCGCCCCGCTGCATTGATTATTCTACATAACGCCGTATTCCCGCGGGTTTTACAATCTGCAAGAGCGACGAGTGAGAGACGCGCGCGAGCTTTAAAAGCGTATCATTATTATCATTAAAAATCTCGGCCTCGCCGAGAGAGGCGCGTTTTTCTTGGCACGTTCGGCGAGCCTCGAACGTTCGCTCGTCTCGAGGTAAAATCTCCTCGGATGTCGGTGACCAGGCGAAGGATGCAGCTGCGTCAGACAAAGACACGGTGAAAGACAACCACGCGACGACGACGACGACGACGACGACATGCAGTCGAGAGCTTTTAGAACGTAGCCGAGACGCCGTGGGCGTCTCGTTTGGTCCCTGAATTCTTTTACGATTTTTGTCTGGGTGAAGAAGTGACTTTAGCGGGGCAAAGCCACCGTGATTTATCCACTCGTCTTTCCTACCGTTTTTCTCTCTCGCAACGTTCGCGCCTTATTTTCGTCTCGCCGGTTAATGACGTGTTCGCGAAACATTATTTTTACGCCACTCTCTCTCTCTCTCTCTCTCTCTCTCTTTCTTTTTTGTCTCTCTTTTTTCGGCGCAGCCCGATTTTTTGCCGCAACTCGGCATGCACCAGAGATACGACTCGCGCGGCGGATCACTTACCGAGAGTGACGAGCTCGAAAGGATTGCCCGTCCGCGTTTGGCTAAGCATCTTTAAATCCCGCAGAATGAACGAGCGTGACCTCGCGCGGAAACAGAGTTCATCGAGAACGTATATCCTAGACACAATATCCCTGAGCTAAAATATTCTTACGCGCACGAGGCGCAGGCATAAGTAGCGTCTTGTAATTAATTTCTTACTACAGTTAATCGCATATCGAAATTAAATATGATATAATCCAGGATTAATGATGTCATCGATAAATGTTAATGGAGAAGATTAAAGAATTTGTTTAATTTTCGAATTTAGATTCTAACTTTTGTATAAAATTAAATTGTTTCGATATTTTTGTACTTTGGACATTTTTGAAAATTAGAATAATACTGGCGGATTAATCATTCGCGATTTGTTAAATAAATCAATTTAGGTCGTGCGTTATTAAATATGTCTAATTACTAGTTTCTGCTGAAAATTTGAAAAATATAAATATCTATGACATTATTGAATAAATTTATGTATACTGCACATAATCATACAGTATTGGTCTCACAGATATCTGTATTCTTTTGATTTCTATTCTTCAGAGTCCGTAAATTATTCATATAGTTTCTTCTATTACATAAATGAAAATATTTACATTCCTTTATTTATTCATGTTGCATATGTATACACTCCTAAAAATATGTAAAATAGATATCTGCATCTATTTATTGTTTTTTTTTCGTGATGTTAATTCATTCATTTCGTGATGTTTCGCCTCAAGGCACGTCGCGTACGTTGTGAAAAAATAAAATTAAAATGTTTAATATGTAAAAAAATGTATTTTATATATTCTAATAAAATTTTAAATTAAATTTAAAAAATTATTCGAAAGCTAGTGTACATAAAAATTTGATATCAAATTTCAAAATGCTTAAATATTATTGTTTAAATTTGAAATTTAAAATTTTTTAAGTCTATATATAAAATTATCAATTAAAAAATTTTAAAACAATTCAATTTTATGAAATTTAAATTTTGAAACTTTTCAATTTTAAATTGAAAAATTTCAACATTTTGTAAAAACATTCTTAATCAATATCAGTAAGAAATATTATCATATTCATCCTAATAACGTTCTTTTTTAAATTGGGTTCTTATATAATTAGGAAAAATTTAATATATTGGATCGGGAAAAAAGTTTCTTCTTATTTCTTAATTCAAAATTGTATATACAATATCTTCGTCAAAAATGAACGAAATTTAAATTTTAAAAAAGGGTCTTAAAGCTTGAAATCTGTACTTTCAAACAGTTACTATATTTTTTGAGTTTCTGTGAGTTTGGTAATTTAAAAAAACTACGAGCTGAAAAAGATGAAAAATTCTCTTTTCACTTTGGGGATCTCTCATGTGCCCAAAAAAAATTTACGAAAATTTTCGACTATCTATCGTGAAAGCTTGAAGCTTTTCCTACAAAATCATTTTTTTTTAATGTTCCTACGATTTTTCGTTCCTGAGTTATTCGCGAGTCAAGTAAAGGAACATTCTGACTTTCATTGCTCATAACTCCATTTCAAAAATCCCCGACCCAGTAATATAATTCGTACCAATTAACGTTTATAATTTTAATATAAATAATAACCATTTTCTTAATTAACTCAATTAACGGACAATTTTCTTCGCGCCTGCAATGAGCACAAGAGGAACACGGATTTAACACATCGCAAACAGCGAACACCTTCGAATAGGCTGCTGAAGTCAAGTAAGTCCTAGACACAGATGGCCAGCGTCCGTGTGATGCAAATATAGTAAAGCATTTCGTAATAACGTATTAATTGACGTGAAGTGCAGCGGGGCGCAGCGTATCGATTACGTAATAACGCGTTAATGTCTTCGTCAATCTAATCGCTATCGATAATTAGCATGTCGCCACAAATTTACAGTGATTTCCAGCGCACTTGCGACACGCGCGCTTAATTAATCTCACGTTGTAATCGCCTCATTTCATGAAATCGCTCGATCTTTCCAGCAAAAAATTCATTTTCATTGCGAAACAGCAATCCCTGTTTTCTTTTTACTACACGTTTACATTTATTTATGCGTTCTTTTTTTTTTTTCATTCTATCGTTTTCTATCTGCATTTCACGTTTTATTTCATCTATCATAAATAATTGATAGACGGCACATGCAATAATAATAATCAACTGATTTGAATATTTTAATTTATAAACGTTAAATGACAATTTAATGTTTAAATATATATTTATATTATTCATATTGTATTTAATATTTACGATATTAAATACAATAATGGTTACAAACAATTCATCTATCTTCGATAATCGCAAGTATTCGCAAATAGGCTCAAAATAGCGGAACCTGTCTTCAATGATAGTTACATCTTTCAACTCCTCGAGATCGCGCGATAACGAGACCGAGGAGAAAAGAGATGCCGAAGGACATGGATTCTCTCTCTCTCTCTCTCTCTCTCTCTCTCTCTCTCTCTCTCTCTCTCTCTCTAATTCCGTTAACGGCTTGCATTCTTTGCGGCCTAACGGTTGTAGTTCGGCAATCTCCCAGCCATTCGTTAACCACATTACGTCATGTTTCATAATACACCGAGCGGCCGTCGTGTCATTACGCATATAGGCCAATGGATTGCAATAGGGCTGATGCGCAATTAGCGAATCCTCCACGCAATCTTTAATTCGTAATTAAGACTCTGCGGAAATTAGCGTCCTTCCGAGAATGACTCCTCCGAGTTATCGAAATGGCATCGACACAACTAACGCGAATATTACCTATAATTACGTCCTAGAAACTAAATTTTACGGTCCGAAAGCAGCTATTGAGCAAGGGGGAGCAGTGTTTCGAATTTGTTACAAGTGTATTTGCAGTGTATTATTATACTTTAAGGTTACATCGTAGGCGTAATGTCTCTACGTACAGTCTCTGCAAACAGGGTGGGTAGAATTCGAAATTTAGACTTCCATATAAAAACATATGTTATATACGTTATATCAAACAGTTCAATGAGATCAATGTTTATACTTAACAATACAGTTTTATACTTTAAATGAAAGTTTTCTCATTTTACTTTAATTATTTAGAAAAGGAAAGATTTATTTTTTATTAAAGTAATTTTTAATCGAGATCACCGGCAAACATTTTGTATTATTGTACCCTTTACATATAAACATAATATTTGTAATTTTTTCGTAATTTTTTCAATTTGTTAAAAAATATATGTATTCTTAAGAATATATCAGGTGTGTAGCAAACATTCACGCGGACAATGATTAGAATCGAAAATTTATACTTCCGTATAAAAATGAAACAGTTAAATGAGATCAATATTTATATTAACGATACACTTTTTTAATTTAAATAAAATAAATGTTTCTCATTTTATCCTAATTATTTTTTTAAAAACAAGTCTACTTATTGAAATAATTTTTCCCATTTTTAAAATCGCCACCGAACTTTTTGTATTACTTTCAACTGCAACGTAAAAAAGAGATTTATTTTATCATTTTTTTCAAAAATATATGTAATACTTCTCTAATAGCTGCAAAAAAAACTCGAAGGATTACCGCAGAAAATTACAAGCGTCACTTCCAAATTAAGAAGAAAAGATCGAACGCCGTTTGTTCAATCGCCCGAAATTGTTGGGCACGGAACAAATACATAAAT